CTCTGTTAGGAGTGGTGGGTTTCCTTCGTTTTTGTCAAAGTCAAGCCGATTCAGCTCATCCTGCAAGAAAGAGAGAGGAGGGGAAGGGAGGGAGAGACAGAGAGAGAGAGAGAGAGCGAGAGAGAGAGAGAGAGAGAGGCACAGAGGCCATGGTTGTCCAACACTCAATTGGGGGATGGTGGGTCTTTTGCTGCTGGGTGGAACACTGCACCATGCCACAGTCGTCCTACTCTCGCTGGGGGATGGCTTTCCTGCTCTCTGGCTAGAGGTGGTGGTTTTCCTTCGTTTTTGTCAGTCAAGCCGATTCAGCTCACCCTGCAAGAGACAGAGAGAGAGAGAGAGAGAGACAGAGACAGAGAGAGACAGAGAGAGAGATTTCTGACCATTGCCAAACAGTCCTCTACCTGAAGCAGTCATGTAACCAGCTCAATGTCCCTCCCCTTAATCAAAGAAAATTGTTCCCTTTAAAACCCAAACTCAGCTGGAGTCAGTCTGATGCAGAAATATTCAGAGAAAACATGTGCAGCTCTACAGTACACAAAATGATAAATCTCTTTATGTCCACAAATTACACACCAGATACTAATGGAATAAACTCTGCAACATCCAATCTTAATAACATATTTCAAACTTTGACTACTATATCTAACATCAAACAACAATTCAAATTTGGAAAAAACAAACAAAAAAATATAAAGTACATTTGGTTTGATAATGAGTGCAAAAATCTCAGAAGAGACCTTCGCCAGATTGCTAATAAAAAGCATAAAGCACCAGCTGATCAAACCCTAAGACTTGCATATTCACAATGTCTGAAAAATTATAAAAAGTTGATTTGCAACAAAAGAAATCAATATTATGAGGATAAAATTAATGAAATTAATGAATCAATAGACCAAAACCATTTTTGGAATCTCTTTAAAAAATTTGAAAGACCCCAAATGGAAACATCACTGCAATGTGGCACGGTCTGGAAGAATTATTTTAAAAAATTATACCAACAGCCAGAACTCAACCAGCCTCAAACTAAAACCAAGAGTAGACTAGACGATTTAAAGAAGACAATTAAAGATTACCAAAACCCATTAGACACAATTATATCAACAACAGAAATATCAGAACACATTAAACATCTGAAACTGAAGAAGGCTTGTGGACAGGACAACATCAGTAATGAAATGCTAAAACTCAGCAGCCCTGATATAATTCGGGCTCTTGCCAAACTATTCAACCTGATCCTATCCTCTGGTGACATCCCTGAGACATGGTCTGAAGGACTGATCACACCTATACATAAAAACGGAGATAAATTCGACCCCAATAATTATCGTGGCATTTGTGTTGGCAACAACTTAGCAAAACTATTTTGCAATATTATTAACAACCGGATAGTGACATTCATCACAAAACATAACATCCTAAACAAATCACAAATTGGCTTCTTACCAAAACAACGGACATCTGACCATATTTACTCCCTTCATACTTTAATAAATAAAAACATAAAAAACAAACAAAGAAAGATTTTCTCTTGTTTTGTTGATTTTAAAAAAGCTTTTGATTCTATTTGGCATGACGGACTATTATACAAATTGTTGCAAATTGGCATTGGTGGAAAAGTATATAGCATTATAGAAGCCATGTATAAGAAAAGTAAATGCGCTGTAAAAGTTGGAAATATGAGAACAGAGTTTGTCCAGCAGAGTCGAGGGGTGCGGCAGGGTTGCAGCCTGAGCCCAACCCTGTTTAACATCTACATTAATGATCTGGCAGACATTCTAGACGGCTCCGACTGCATCCCCGGCCTCACTCTGCTTGACTCTAAAGTAAAGTGCCTGCTGTATGCGGATGACCTGGTGCTGCTGTCTCCCACAGCAGAGGGTCTCCAACACAGCCTGACTCTGTTGGAGCAGTACTGTGAGGAATGGGCACTGACGGTCAACCTGGACAAAACCAAAGTCATGGTGTTCCAGAAGAAGGCCAGATCTCAGGGACACAAATATCAATTCACATACAGAGGAGAAACTCTAGAGCATTGTAGCAGTTACTCATACCTGGGCATCCAGATCTCTGCCTCTGGCGGCTTCAATCTCGCTGTCAAGACCCTGAGCGAGAGGGCTCGCAGAGCATTCTATGCCATAAAATCACGCTTTGGCCAATTACAGTTACCAACTAAAACATGGATTAAATTATATCACGCTATTATCAAACCTATATTACTATATGGGAGTGAAATTTGGGCACCAGTATTAAAATTAGAAAATTGGAATAAAAGTTTAATTGAACGAACACAATTAGAATTTGCTAAAAGCATATTACATATTCACAGAAACACGTCTAACATTGCCTGCAGGGCTGAACTGGGTTTATACCCGCTAAATTTAGAGATTCAGAAACGAGCTGTTCAGTTCTGGCTGCACCTGCATCAGTCGGACCCCCAGTCTGTCCAATATAAAGCCCTTCTGGCTAATGAAAAACCTACAGTGTCTCATCCTCTAAACACACTGGTATCTGAGCTACTGGAAAAAACACAGACCGAACCCGTCCCCAAACAAAACCTTCACAAACAAATTGACAAAACATTAAAATATAACTATGATGAAAAACTGAAAACTGAATTCAACCTCCAGACTAAACTTAAATGTTATTCGGCCCTAAATAGAACCACACAGTTGGCAAATTATTTATCATTAAAACAATTAAAAGAAAAGCACATTCTTTCTAAATATCGCCTCTGTGATCATGACCTAGAAATAGAAAAAGGCAGACATAAAAAATCCTGGACTCCTGAGGAAAAGAGAATATGTAAACAGTGTGACACAAACCAAATAGAGGATGAGACACACTTCCTTCTGTTCTGCCCCAAATACACCACGACTAGAGAAATATTTTCCCCCAATTTGAAACATTGATCAGTTCATTTTTTAATTTAAATGACTCAGAAAAACTTTACCATATACTCGGAGAGGACGAATTGACATTTGAACTGGCTGCAAAATATGTATACACCCTACACACCATAAGAAATGGTTAATGTAAATTTGTGTCTTATTTAAATAATTTAAACTTTTTACTATTATTATTATTTTATTTATCAAATGTATTTTTTCTTTTCTTTTTTTTTGTGTGTCATTATATCTTATTTGTATTACTATTAATTATTATTTTCAATGGTTTTAATATGTTTCATATTTGAAATGCTTTGGCAATACTGTATTTAATGTCATGCCAATAAAGCAACTTGAACTGAACTGAACTGAACTGACAGAGAGAGAGAGAGAGAGAGAGAGAGAGAGAGAGACAGAGGGAGAGAGAGCTCAGCAATACTGTGACTATATTGAGTTACTCTCTAAGTAAGTCACTGATGGTGTTAGCGGCGGTGCTTCTCACGGTCAGTCATGCCTCACGGTGCTTTTGAGTTGCTCTATCAGCACCTCAGGCTTGATCTCTGTCAGTCAGTGCAGACCCAAGACATGAGCAGAGCTGCAGGCCAGCGGTGCACGCAGTGACTGACTCTGGTTGTGGATCTGTTTTGTCAGTGGATCATGGGGATTCAGTATTCTGATGTGGGCTTTTCATCAGTAAAGTGAGATGTTCTGGCTGTTAGCTGAAGCACAATAACACTGGTTTGGTCTGTAATGAGATGACTTTATGAGCTGGCTGCAGTATTTTGCTTGTGTCCTGATGAACATGAGCTGACGGTGATCATCATGGACATGGCGCTGTTCTGTTGCTCCTGGATCTTCCAGCTGCTGTTGATGCTGTAGAGGACAGCCGTTTCTCCTTCACTGCTCTGTGCTGGGGTTTAGGGTATCGCTGTGGAACGCTCTCAGTCATATTTACCTGACAGAAGCGTCTCTGTTCGCCGCGGGGAGTGTGTGTCCTCGTCAGCACCTCTCTCATGTGGAGGAGCTCAAGGTGTCACTCTGGCTCCTGTTCTGTTCTCCTTATATCTGCTTGTGTGTGTGTAGAAGTTGGGCATGTCAGAGGTCAGCGCACTTCAACTCATTCAACAGCCGACAAGCTCAAACTCTTCCCCACATGAGGAAAAACATTCAACATATCAAGAAAAACAAGATGATGAGCAGCATTCCTGATAGATGACCTGTATACAGATGCTGCTGTTCTGCATCTGAGCGGACTCTACAGGAGACAGCTGACGGTGTTAAACACAACACTGATCAAAACAACGATGATGATCATAATTTAATGGCAGACAGTAGGATTTGACTGTAGTGACTCTGTTCATCTGTAAATCTCGCTGTGCTGGATTTTTCCGTCAGCAGTGCTGCTTTAACGCGGCTGTGTTCAGTAACTCTGACCATTCAGCGGAGGGATATGGAGCTGCTCTAAACCTGCTGGAACTACTTTAGCTGACATTAACCAATCAGCTGAGAGTGAGCAGCAGCCAATCAGAGAGCAGCGTTCAGCTGGATAATTATCTGCAAGTGTCTCTGACGTCTGCAGTGTGTCTTTATTATCCATATTCCACAATCATCTGCATATTTCTGCCTCCAGCGTGACCTGTGAAATGCAGCTGTGTGTGTGTGTGTGTGACACTGACCCTCTGTTCTGTGTGTGTGTGTGTTTCAGATAAGCAGTGTACAGTGGTGTACTTTGACGAGTGTGTGTCCATCCGCCAGTGTAAGCAGTACTGTGAGTCTATGGGGGGCTCCAAGTACCGCTGGTTCCACAACGCCTGCTGCCAGTGTATCGGGCCCGAGTGTGTGGACTACGGCAGCAAGAGCGTCCGCTGCCTCAACTGCCTCTACTGACACACACTTTCCATCCGGTGTGTGTGTGTGTGTGTGTGTGTGTGTTTCAGTGTTTCTGCTGGACTGTGTGTGTC